ATTCCACGTTCTATGTCCAAGGGGGTCTTTTCTTTGCTCAGCATGGCAAAAACACTGGGCTAGCTGGAGTCAGATGTGGGTTCAAAGCGAGACACAATCATGTCTTAGTCAGAAGAACTTGGGGGTTCAAAGCTAGGCATAATCGTGTCTTAGCTAGATGGACTTGGGGGTTCAAAGTTAGACACAATTGTGTCTTAGCTAGATGAACTTGGGGGCAAGTCACTTGACTTCCCAAGCATCAGTTTCTCCGCCTGTAAACAGAATAATAATACCTTCCTTATTAAATTGGCATGACAGTAAATGGGTAGAACTTCAGAGATTTTCTGAGACTGAATGAGACAGTTCATGTAATGTACTTAGCACAGTGCCTGGCAGCCAGCAGGGACTCTACAATATTTATTATTAAGAAATACGAGGAAATGCCAAGACTTTACAGGGTATTCATGGATCTACAAATGCTCAATCTTATGTGTAGGCTGGTATTCTGGCAACTACTAAATAAGAAAAGCTAATCTAAGAAGTCAATATTTTAAGATATAAAAACAAATGAAATCATTATATAGTTTGATGATTAGGAAAAATTATAACCCAGATTTTTTCCCCTTACTTAAAAATCTAGATCTTTTTAAATTCGAAGATCTGGTTTCAGTTGGGCATGGTGGCTCACATTCCCAGCACTTGGGGAGGTCAAGGTGGGAGGATTGGTTGAGCCCAGGAGTTCGAGACCAGCCTGGGCAACATAGGGAGATTTTGTCTCTACAAAAAAATAAAAAAATAAGCCAGGCATGATAGTATGTGCCTGCAGTTCCAGCTACTCAGGAGGCTGAGGTGGAAGGTTTGCCTGAGCCCAGGAGGCTGAAGCTGAGGTGAGCCGTGATCATACCAATGCACTATGGGTGACAGAGTGAGACCCTAACTCAAACAAATAAACAAACAATAAAAAACCAAACAAAGATGTGCTTTTCTAAATAATAAAAACATGATAAATGAATATTCTTTGATGGTAATCAAATAGTAGCAACCATAAGATACATTTTTATATCTAAAATAAAAGTGCAAACAGTTCATAACATCAGAGTTGGTGTGCTTGTGTTAAAATTAGGATACATGCTCTCCACAAGTTACTGTGGAAGTTCGTGCTGTCTTTCTAGAAATATGGTAATATGTAACAAGAGCCATGGAATATTCTGTTCCTGGGCTTCCTCCTAGGAAAATAATTCAGTAGAAGCAAAAAGAGGTATATACCAAAGCTGAAAATAAAAACCTGCAAACCTTTCCTCCCTCCTTCCTCTCCCTCCATCAAAAACCAAAACTGGAAACAACCTAAAATTCCAACTTAGTAGAATGGTTTAATACATTGGAGTTCATCAATATGAGGGAATATTATACAGCCATTAATGTGAAGACTCTGTAGAAGCATGGAGAATGTTTCAGACCTGATGTCCATTAGCATATACACTATTCTTGTAGTTTTAAGAAATAAATTCCACATATTTGGAATTAAACACAAAAATGAAAACAACTATGTTTGGGAAGTGATTGTGTACTTATTTGATTAAAGATTTCTCTAATCTTGCTATATTATCTTTTAACGTTTCTATAAATGATGTGGCTACAAGGCAATGCTCTCTGGGATTACCTAATAAGTACCTACTGGATTCCACAAAAGACCCCAGGCTCAGACATTCTGCAATGCTCAACAGAGGTCTTCACAACAGAGAGAGAGACGCAGGGTGTTCAAGGCCAGAGTTGGTGTAAGACTTTCTTTTTAATAGTATATTTTGTTTTTCTGACAGTTCTGCAAAAAGGCAAAACAACAACTTTGTTTTTTCTAGGCCTGGATGCCTTGAATTAGTTTTTTCTTCCCTTTGTTGATTCCCAGATTAATATCCAGTGTCTAACAAAGTAAACCAAAGTGCATGTAAAGGCAAAACTGGTCCTGCAAAGGGCTAAAACAGTGGTATGTAATAGGCGCACTCAAGAGCCTGTTCCATTTCCTGTTTCTCCTTAAGTGGCAAGTCAGTGAAACCAAGACACCCAGACTTTCTGGCAGACTCTCTGGGTAACAGAGGCCCAAGGAAGGGCCAAGCAGAGAAACCGCAGAGTAAATGGCTTTGTACTGCACACAGAGAAACTATTCTACAAAAATCTCCTCCTGCAAAGTAGTGTCACTAGAGGCATCACTGCTGCTAATCTGACATCCTGGGAATTGAGGAAAGGAAGATTTACCTTAAAAAAATGAAACAAAAAAACCCAGAAAAGCCACAAAAAAGACTGTAAGGGCATTTCCCATGGCAACCATGGGCCCAGGTCTCCTGCACGGCCTCAGGTGAGCGTGCCCAGGGAGGTTTCTCCCTCTCAAGCATGCCCGCCTTTGTTTAAGCCTTTATTCCTACTAAATGAAAAAGAAATATCCTGACGGGGAATGGGAACTTGGAATGTGTGGATTCATTAAAGCTTAACAAGTATTGCACACGTCAGTGAATGAGCTCGAGGGCCCCTGATGGGGAAGCAGGCGTTTTCGCTGGTAGAATGAAGAGAATAGGCTTGGTCTCAAGCCACCAAGAAAAAAATGGAAGAACTGTGCTGTTTTCAAGTGGCCACCACCTAACACTCCGCCTTGCCAAAAACTACCTACATGTCTCTACTGATTTTAAAAATGTGACACAGCTTTTCAGCAGCCGTTGGCCCCATAACTTGATTTCAAGTCTCACTGCAACCAGCCAAATAACTCTGGTTCTAAATTAGATAGATGAAAAAAGAGATAATCTTTATATTGGATACTTGAGTCTACACTGAATCCTGCCTCCATCTAAAACCAATATCTGCGTGGCACGCAAGAGCATCTCAGAACAGTTCAAACTCCCATAAACAGCACTGTTTTAATCTGTTTCCTACAACACACCAATGAGAAAAACCAGGGCATCGTGTCATAAACTGCTATGCAAATGATGCTATTTGTAAGTATTAACATAATTTAGTGCTTACAGTCATATTCTCATTTCTAATAATTCTCCCAGAATGGAGTCTTTCTCTGGACTCTTAGCCTGCAGGATAGTCTTTCATCAAGAAGCTGAAATTTTTAATAACCTGCCAGCATATGTTCTGTACGTGCCAGGCTAGGCTTGATGACACAACATCTTCATTATCACAAGAAACAGGTCTACAAACTGTAATAGGACATTAAAACATGCCTGTGCTCATAAAGTAATGCTTTGATGTCTCAATGTGCACCATTACGATGGTCTTCTGGAACAAAGGAGAAATTCTAATCCTAAATTCTCAATAGCCGCACTCAGTGTGGATTGGAGTTCACCTCTGCTCTGAATAAGATTTTACTTTGAAGGCAAAAGAATGTCAATAGTCTCCTACAAAGAAAAAAAGCTTTCCAGAGCTACTTTATTTTTATTTTTGACTTCACATTATGGCTAAGCACAAGCCTCAGACTGTTAAAAGATTTCGGAATAATTATTTTCTCCTTGTTAAGTTTTAAAAGATAATTTAGATAGACTATTAATTATTCAAGAGTTTCACATTTCATAACATTAACAACAGTGTCAAGTGCATTTGGTGCCAATTTAAAATGATATCATTTAAAATAACTGAAATTAAATAATGTAAAGTGAGTCTTCTAAGTACCATTCAGCCAAATGTCAGTATTTTGAATATATTTTGAAGTCAAACATTTCACATTTATCATAGGCTAATGCCAGAGGAACTCTAAAAAGTATTGATCTGAAATATCAAGCCAGTAAACACTTTGCACACTACCATTTCAATTTTTTTTTTACATAAAAAGTCATACTTTTAAAATGTTTTAATCGCAACAGTTTTACTTTTAAAAGAAAATGCTACACAATATGAAATAAAATCCAGTTCAAAGGGAACATAAGGGAAACCTTCACGGGCCTCAAAATTAAATACATTTTCTTGGTTTTATTTTTTTCTAGAAGGGTAATTCATTTTGGTATCCTTTAAATAATACGTAAGAAGCTGGTCCTGACAGGTGCTGTGTGTAGCCCATTTACTGATGGAGGGATAGTAGCCCAGAATAGATCATTGGGAGAACAGCCGCATCTGTCAAGGGAGTGCCTCTCTCGCCTGTTCTGAGATTTATTCATCGCTCCAGGTTCCCAAGAATAATGGGGCTCCCTCCGCGTGCCCCTCCCTCCCCACCATGCGCATCTTGATTCCTGCACTCCTGTGGGGATGCTCGGTGTGGATGCAAAGCGCGGAGCGGCAACTGCCATGCCCACAGTGGGTGAAACCAGCCGAGGGACTTGGCCTCCGAATTCTCCTGACCGGAGGCCTCACCAGCAGGTCAGCCTGACAGAGATGCAGAGTAAGGAGAATCAGACTGGACAAGGTACACAAAGTGGGCAGTTTTGCAACTGCAGACTTAATTTCTGTACTGGACCATATGCACTTACTTTAATTACTGGACAGATTTGGAGTGGACAGAGAACACATCCATGAAAGTGTGTGTGGGAACATCCCTGCACATGGGCTCTGGGTGAGGCCTCCTCCCACAGCCAGCTTTTGCTGGGAGGGACCATTTTCTCAGCACCTCTCAGGGATCAACAGTGACATAAATTCCCTCAAATTGTCTTCAAAAACATATAGCTGCTGACAGAATGCCGTCACACATAGGCTTCCAGGGAACAACTGTGCCCTAGTAGCATTTTTGTCTCATGACAACATCAGCTAGCTTAGCAGCGGTTGTCTCTAAGCTCATGATCAGACCCGGTCAGAGCAAGTTTGGGACCTATAACGTTCCCTGAATGTGATCAAAGCTTTTCCAGTTCCTGTGACCCACCTGAGCACGTGAACCAAGACCCCTTGGGCCCCAAGAATAGCCGTGTACTAGAACCCACAAGGCCCCCAACTCTGCACATGCGGGCCCAGGCCCCAGAGGGCACTGCTGGCAGCGGACCCAGGGCTGGTTGTCCCCCCAGGGAGCCCCTGCTGTCCCCACTGTCCACAGACCCATCAGTACTCACGTGTGCCCACTTCCGGCTCCAGTCCTCACGGTTGTATCTGCTGCTCTCCTTCTGTGCCCACCTGTAGCACTGCAGGTGGGTAGGAATGTCACAGAACGCTGTCCCGCTGCCTGCGAACCCGCAGTCCACTTTAAAGAGCCAGCGCCGGATGTGCAGGTGGTTGGTGATCAGCTGACTCAGCTGCTCCATCATCTGCGGACCGAGATGTGGCAGTTAATATGGCTAGTTTCTTGGCCTCCTTTTCGCTGTGTTAACTTAGCTGCTGCACCTCTCGTGGGACTTTCCTTCAAGGGTCTGCTCACCCGGTTTCTTCTAGTTACTAAGGAATTGTAAGTGATGTATACGTGAAGTGAAGAAACCGTTAACCAATCAGACCAAAGACATGTTCAAAAACATAGCCTTGTGAGAAATTCTGAAATTATCATTTTTCTGGCTTTTGAAAGCAAAAGAAAGAAACTTTGACTATCTGTAACTGAATCTTGATATCATTTTCTTTCTTTTTCAGATAATTATGTGTTTACTTATTGATTCCTCAAATGATTTTTTTAATACTTTCAAGACTATAAAGAGTTATAGTCTTTATAGTCTTGAAAACTTTAACTGTTCGGAACTTTGCTGAGTGTTTAAATGTTGTAACTTATAAAACATTTACTTGTTTCCTCATTAATATACATGAAATACATTTATATGGCGGGCCACTTGGCCAAGTGTCTTAAATGTATGATATAAACAAGTGTATTACAGAGCAAGACAATTAAAGGCAGTAACATTCTCACAGGAGCAGCCTTCTGGGAGTATGCACCTGCCTATGTTTCGCTTGAAACAATGTTCCCTCAATAACTAGGCTCAAACACATGGACATTTAAGGAACAGAACAGTAGTCCAAGCTCTAATATCAAACTTATAATGCTGAAGATGATGTTTAAGATTATTGAGCTCTCAGTAGGTGCCAGACCCTTGGATCATGTAAATCCTTTACATGAATTTTCTCATTAATACTCACAATATGAGTTGGGCACCATTATTAGTTCTATTGTATGTATATGTAATCCCCTATTTCATCCATAGATTCGCTCAGCTTATTTAAATGAGCTGCCCACGATCACACAGTGGTGAGTCCTGCCAGGTGGCTCTGACTCCCAAGCCTCCACTCAAGCCTTGTTCCCTGCGCTGCCTGTCCCAGCTGGCAGGGAGTTGGGGGAGAAGAGTGACAGGAGAAGCAAGAAGAGGGGCTGGAGAAGCAACTGTCTTCATGTCGATAAGCCATTTGCGTTTGTATCCAATGGAAGTCTACAGCAAGACGACTCAATTATAAGTAACATCTCACTGGTAGAGCCTTAGAGGAAAGAACGCACTAGGTCACAACATAATGCTTGGTCTTGTCTTCTCATCAGACTCCCCAGTCTGTACATCCCAGAAAGTCACACAACAGCACCAAGCACTCTGTCCCCGGAGCCTTCCCATGCTGCTCCAGGTCTCCCATCCTGAAGGAGGGCTCCACGACACGTTTATTCTCTTCTCTTTTAAGTTTGCTTTGCCACCACATAAACTTAAAACACTTTTTTTTTCCAAATGAAAGAGTTGAAAGAACTCAAGATTTAAGTTCTTTTGAAGCCTGCAACTGAGAGATTAAAATTATTTTGATGAAAGGCACAGTCTGTTCTCTTGAGCTGTATCTGCCCGGCAAACCTTCCTGGGGACGCAGTCACAACAGTGTGGAAATATATCAAAATGGCCACACCTGGGTTCCCCAGAAACCCCATGTACCCTATTAGGGTGAAATGACATTCTCTTAGCTGCCTAAGTGCCAGGCAATGTCTATAGGTAACTTGGGTGTTTAAAGGACAGTATCCTGGCTCTGGTTCTGCTCTGGAGATGAGCACACCCCAGGGGGCTTTGCGTGTGCCTTCCAGGGTTGTGCCCTTCTCTCTAATGTGTTGAGAAGACAGATTCTGTATACAATCATATTTTGCTGTATTAAAGTCACACTTGGCAGAAGTAGAAACGGTCTTTGGTCTCTTAAAATCAGATCAAATTATTTTGCTAGTGTAAAGAAAGGTATTCTGGCATAGATTTTTAAAAACTACATACTTAGATATATTGTATATTTGGAGGTTTCAACTACTAACAGAATTATTATCTATTTCTTCCAAATCCTATTATTTGTTGCTTCTGAGAATCCTATAAATGGGTGTCTGTTGATGGATCCCCTACAGTAATGAAAAGGATCAATAGTATTGTAAAGGCTGCACCATTGGAAAGAATTATGTGCTATCTTTAAGTGAAAATTGAACAGTGCTTTAAAATAGCATTGCTATTTTTGATTATTTAACCCAAGCTGTCAATATTTCACACAGAGCATATGTCAGAAAGAGAACTTGCACAGAACCAAACAGGAAATGCTCACTCTGATCATGCTAGATTTTTTAAAAAAAATTAGTTAATCATAAACCAAATGACTTTACACTATTTCCAAACATTTATCATGTTCTGTTTGACCCTGTCTGTTGCAAAGATATGATAGATGTATCAGTAGTGATTCATTTTATACTGGTAAAGAGCAGAAGCTGAAAAATACTGCTAAACCTGACTGAGAGTCAGGGATCCTCGTTAACCTCAGTTAAAATAATTGCAACTTTCTATTACCAGCTTTACATTTATGATGCACATTTGTAAAAAGTTGTGTTATTGATTTATCACCATCTGCAGATTCAAAATGCTGACACACTCAGACAGATGAGGTAGACTATCACTATCTGGAAAGGTCTCAGTGGGGTGCTTCAGTTCTTGATGACCTCACATGTGTGTCTTCCAAACATGTAGAAGAGAACTCAGTTAAACACTGGTTTATTGTCATGCAATTGTGCATATCATAGGTCAAGGGACATCCTCAAATTTCATGTGTCTATGAGGAGGTTTTCAGCCCTACTAGCACAAGAGGGTTTCTCTGCATGAAATGTGCCTGCATCTTTAACCACAATTAGCATATAAATTCCTAAAATGTCTCATAGCACAGACTGCCTGAGTTTTTCTTGATGATGGTAAAGGCAAGATTCAATGCAAATATTGCATGTTTATATTCAGGTTGTGAAGACTATTTAATGTAAGGTGTATGTGTAAAACAGGATATTCAAAAATGTCTTCCACTGGTAATAATCCTGACAGCCAAGTATCCTACTGGGAAGCAGAGCCAAACAAGTCCACCTCGTTATCTTCCACGTGCAGTGGACATGAACGACAACGGAAGTGACACACCAGCTCAGGGGGCCTACCTGCTCCACTCCTGCTGACGTTGCCTGTGCTTTTCCCAGACTGGGATCCCTTTCAGGGAAATCTCCTTCACAGGCCCATATATGGCCCAAGAACACAATAGCAAGACTAGAATACTTTTGGGCAATTTTATAAGTTGATACCATCTTTAAACGATCTCTGCAAAGTTTGCTTTGTTGAAAGGCTTCGTGTTTGAGCTCAGAGGTTGTGAGGGGCAGAGTACCATGACCAGGTGACGGACAGTGGATGGGGTCCCTGAATAGTGTCCCCCACACACTGCCTCACTGTGCACGGTTCCTCGGGTTCCCAGGAAGGGGGCAGGGAAACTTGTGGCAGGCTCAGAGTAATGGTCAAGAGATGTCCTGAAACGGAGATTGGGAAGTGTGAACAGTCATTTGTCTTTGAATTTTCTGTGTTATGAGACAGATGGCAGTTAAATGGGAGAATGTCTGCCAGAGCCAACTCTGAGAGAAAACATTTCTAGTGGCTAACACATTTTTCCAAATATTTTGGGCTCTAGCTACCTGCTGGGAGAATGCATCATTACAGACCTGGTCCAGGCCAAACCCCAAACCAGACCATTGGATTCCTGGGACCATTTCACTTCTCCATCCAAGCTCTTTCCCCTCCTCCCTCTAGGGCCCTTCCTGGAGAGCAAAGTGTTTTCACCATGCCAGAGATGTCTGCTACCCCGCGACAGGCCTCTGCAATCCCACAGGTGGGCAGTCTTGCTTCCTGCAGCCTTCTAACCGTGCTTCTTCTAGCCTAAAACTACTCACACTTCTTAGGCTCCCACTAAGTGACTAGCTAGCTGATGAAATGATGAACTGGTCCATGCCAAGGCATTCATTGCTGACAGCAGACTACTCCAGGGACACATGCAATTTAACAGGGTCTTCAAATGCTTATTCCAAATGAGTAAGTATTTTGGAAATTTCTGCAAGACCAAGAAAATGATGCTTTGAAGCACTGCAGCCTCGGTAGGGATAGCTCCAGGAAACCTGGCTCGTGATTGGTCAAGGGGGTGTGGGATATGGGCAGGACCTCACTCGGCGCCCACATACCTGCTCCTGGCTGTGGATGTTCTCTGTTCCAGGAGGGACCGGTACATTGGCACTATCAAAGATGCGTCTGCCCCCAGACTTGGTGTTGCACAGGTGGGCAAGTGCTGGCTCCGAGCCCAGGATGGGCAAGTCCAGCATGTCAGCCACGGCCAAGTCATCTCTGTGGAGTATCCTGCCCACAATGTAGGCCTCTTTCCCTTGGATGAGGTTCCTTATTCTTTTGATTGCCTTGGGGCTGTACATCAGGTGAGTGGCCAGGCACATGCGATGCTTCTGGGGGAAGACCACATTACTCTTGTTAAAAGGGGTCCTTTTCTAGTCTGCACACCTAATTTATAATGTTGCACATAATAAATACATTATTAATAGCAGGCTGGGTTATGACCTATCCTGTTGTTTAGCAGTTTAAATTGATAAAAGCTGTTGGGGTGAGGTTCCATAATCGCTCACATCTTTAGTGTGCTGGAAATAGGCTCGCTGGGAATAGAACTAATTACTACACATCTGTATTTATTTGATCCACGTGGAATTATCCTTCTGTCAGAAGGAAAAGAGGCTGGCGGCCTTTGGATAATGGTGATTCATTTCTGCAGCACTTCTGGCGTGGTTTAACACTAAAGTGCCTGGAAAATCAATACAGAAAATGAAGAAAGAAGCCCCACAGTGATCCCCACTACGCAGACTCCTTATCTGGAGATTTTAAACGCCAGAGCAGGAAGAAGGCCTTCAGCACCCTCTTTCCAAAGCCTCCTGCAAAGTCCCTCTCAGAGGACATGTGCTTTTAGAGTGATTCTCATGGTTCTAGCCAACACCTGTGGAAAAGATTTGTGAATAGAAAATATGGGAAAATTTCATCAAGACTGCATTTTATTTTTCAGTGAAAAACTCTTTATTTTCGACTAGTTAGACCCATCTCAGCAACACATGTGACCATCTCATTCAATTAAATAAATGAGGAGAGAGGCAGATGTCAGCACACACTCAAAGTAATACAGTCATGTTTCTGCTTTCAAGGAGTGGGGGAGACATAGACTGGGTACAATGCTTTGGTAGGCTGAGGTGGGAAGATTGCTTGAGGCCAGGAGTCAGAGACCAAACTGGGCAATATAGTGACACACTATCTCTGCAAAAAAATTTTTAAAAAACTTGCAGGGCATGGTGGTACATGCCTATGGTCCCAATTACTCAGGAGGCTGAGGCAGGAGGATTGCTGGAACCCAAGAGTTTGAGGCTAAAGTGAGCTATGATGGTACCACTGCATTCCAGCCTGGAAAACAGATCCTGTCTCAGAAAAAATCAAGGAGTGGAGACACAAATAAGAACAGTTAACACATAACTAACTCGAGGCAGATGAGGGATGTGAGGAACTACAGAGAGTCTCAGAAGCATGGAAGAGCGAGGCAGAGGCCATACACTGGTGGAGAGAACCGCAAAGGCCAATTACACATCCTCCTTGGGCCTCAGTTTCCTAGTCTGTAAAGTGAGTATCATAACGGCCTCTATTGCATAGAAATGCAGTGAGGATTGACAAGCTAATGCACATAAAGCCCATACATGGTGCCTTAGCCATCACGGGCACCTGGTAGGTGCCGGTTAGTGTTGCTATGGTGACAGAGGCTGAGCTGGGGGAATTCCGAGGGATGGTGAGGTTTTCTCAGGGAAATGGGTGTGGAGTGACACTGGCCAAGGGAAGACTGTCAGGACCCAAGACTGTCTTCCTTTTTCTAGAGACAAGAGCAGCAGAGCACACAGGGGCGTGCTGGGCTCTGGGGTCACACAGCTCTGAATTCAGCTCTCACTTACAAGCTCCATGAACTTGGGCAAGTGACTTAGACCCCCTGAGCTGAAGCGTCTTCATCTGTCAAATGGAATAAAAACACCCATTTACTGGGCTGCTCTAAGACTTTTAAGACAAAATCACGAATGTAAAATACCTGGTATAATACATGGCACGGAGTGGATAATACATGGTAGTCATTCTTATTACAGAGAAAGACCCTTCTTAAAAATAAAGTCACTGAAATATCACACAAATGCTATAATGTAAAAGTGTCGAGTCTTAGGGGAGTTCTAGGGGTTTTATAGACTAGCCTATACCCCATGTTGGTGGAGAAAGACTGAGTGACTGTTCCAACAACTAGTGGGGCCCAGCCTGCACCCTGCTGGAGAGTGTCACTTCTGTGTATGGGACAGACAGCCCTTGCATTTCGTCCTGCCGGAACTTGTGACCTGCTAGGTGATGTAATCCAAATAATAAGCTGGATGAGAGGTCTCCAGGGTCCTTCCCACTCAGAAAGAACTTCCCCTTTAAGAGCAGGCTCTCTGGGCCTACTGTCTGAAGGGTGCAGAGTTTCTTCATGAGAGGATGAAAAGTTCTGGAATGGGTAGTGGTGGTAGAGGCAAAACAGTGAGTGAGTTTAGTGCTATTAAACCATGCACCTGAAGTGGTACATTTTATTTTGTGCAGATCTTACCACAATAAGAAGGTAGACCAGCAGTGCTTCCCTGAGAAGAGGCTTCATGATTGTCCCTGGGGGGCCCTGGCACCTGGTGAGGTCCCCGGTTCAGGCGCCTTAGATCTGTGCAATGTGCCTTTTCTATGACAATATTAAATCAGCTTTAAAAACACACTTCTAGGATGCAGTTCTATGAAACTCAGCCTTCTACTGGACAATGGTGATTAACAGCACCTGGCAGCTTATGCTTCTCATCGGGTTGGTCACTGACTTTCCCCCCTTGTTTATTTCACTCTTTTCCTTTTCCCACAAATTATTCCAATGAAGTGCAAAAGAATTAACTGTCCAGAACGGGTGACTTGTGTTGATGTCCATGAGGGCTTCCTGGGGGACCTAGGAGAGCGTTCCAAGGCAGAGTCCTCTCGTGGATGCTCCCACGGTCAAGGCCTTCAGCGTGTTTTCTCACTGGATCCATAAACACTGTGCCAATTAATAGACTCTGTTGAGAGATGAGGAAACTGGGCCTCAAGTGGTTTGCCCAAAGTCACACAGCTGGCAAACAGTGGAGCTGGGATTTGAATCCAGTTAACACAGCTGGCCTGTCACTGTTGCCGAAGCTCCCTGTTTGGGAGCATGAGTGGTGGAGGTCTACAGGCTTATGGGATGCAAAGAGGGAGTGGCAGATGCAGCGACAGAGCCTGACAACGGAGTTCTGAGCACATGACTAGTCAGGACAGCTTCCATCTCCACCAGGTTTGCTGATTCCATTGGTGAGTACTCTGCCGACAAGGGCCATCATCACCTGTGGACAGGCCTCACTCTGCAGGCAAGATGGGACTCCAGCACTCATTCAGTGTGTGCTTGATGAAGACTCAGCACGCATGATGGCAGAGGGCAGCTGCGGGTCTTGCAGGGCTACCTGGAGAGAATCCGTACTGTCACATCCAGCAGTGGGTTCACACAGATGACAAGACCCTAGAATGCTTTCAGTTCCACCACACTGTGGCTATGTTCACTTGATCCACTGCTTTTTTTTCCCCTTGAGACCAAAGGTAGTTGTTTAGGATGTCTTCATAAACACTTGAATGTACAAATACAGACACAATGACTTTTATAAGAGCACATTTCACCATTACAAATTCAAGCACCGTATAGCGACTTGGAGAGATATACAAACAGATTTTTGGCATGCTTTAAAAACTCTCCTAGCCATCCATTTGCATGGAAATCAGCACTGATACAATTGCTCAAACCCATTAAAAAGGAATAAAGCTAAACGTGAGCAGGGACTGATTTGAAAGTGGGGATTTAATCCTTGTATTTTAAAAAGTTGATTGCTTATGAGTGATTAGTTACTCAAATAATTTCAACGTAGGCTGTGAGGAGGAAAGGAACTGGACTTTGGCTCCTGGTGACCCGCACGTCCATGAGCACCTGTCTCCTGCTCAGAAGTTGGAGTGAACCAGCAAAGGTGAACTTCTGGGTGACAGGATTACAGAGCTGGGGAGGACTTTGAGATGGATGGACCCATCTCCTCACTTTATCGATGAAGAACAGAGGACCGCGAGGTAAAGGGCCAGCCAAGGCCACAACTCATGGCAGTGTTCTGGGTAGACACACAGGTCACGCTCTGGCCCTTCTTGTAACCTCATAGTAGAAAGTGGTTCTAGTAACCCTGGGCTAGAACACAGCTCTTGGATTCCTCTGCCATAAAAGGATACTGATCATTTCTGTCTTGCTGCACTGTTCTGAGAATTGACTGAGAAAATGTATGCTAGGCATCATGACAGTTATTTCGCTCAATTCCTTCTCCCAGATCCAGATCCCTTCTGGCCCCCTTCCAGGCCTCTCCACTGTCTGTGGGCATTCCAGGTGTGAAGGTCCCTCCCAGAAGCCAGCAGACATCAGCTTGGTTCTGACTGGAGAAAATCAGGAAGTGACTAAACACCTGTGATGGTTCTTTTCCTTCCTTGCTTCTGACTCTTCAAAGTCACCATGCCACTGAGGCCAAGGACTAGTCAGGAAGCACCAAGGAAACTTTGCCTGGGTGGAGGATGCAGGAAGGTCCTGAGAACACAAGCCTGTGGAGATGACGTGTCACCTGTCCTGGCTCTTGCTTCTCCTGCACCTGCCCTTGCCATTCTCTGTCCCTACCCGTGGTGCCCATGAGGCAGAGCCGAGCAGAGGACTTGGGGATGCTAGGTGTCTAGTAATGATAAAATAATGTCCTCGTGCAAAATAGAATGAATGGCAGCAAAGTTGAAATGCTAGGCAGCCCTCCCTAGCCCTCCAGTTCTTTCTCAGTGCTGGCACCCCACTGCCACATCCACCACATTTTTTGGTTAAATCATGGGGCACCTGAGTGTTAACAGGCAATAACCCAGCTCCTAGATGCCTCCTGTGTGCAGCATGCAATCTGTCTATCTGGCGATAGAGTGAATGTTGGTGCATCTCAAGTGGAAATGAAAAAAAAAGTGGAAATGGAGAGAGCTATCTTTATCTGCAAATTCAGTTTCTAATTGTACCAAACACTCTCCTCAAATTGCATAGTCCACTAGGTATTAAAATGACAGCTGTTTAATATGAAAGTTTAAATTCTTGTCAAAATGTAGAGAATTTCATTTCAAGCCACCTTTTGTGCCACCTTATTCTAGAATGCTCCCTTACTATCCTGTGAGTGTCCCAAATGTTCTTGGCTAGGAATAGGATCCCACTCAGCCTTCATTCCATTCACTAAAAGTAAGTACAAATTAGAAAAAAAAAACCTGGACATGGTTCAGTACGAGCCATGTGACATGGTAAAGTAGGCTGAATTCCCTGAAGGAAAGGAAAATCACAGAGCACTGGTATGGAGATGGAACACGAGGGCCTTCCTGACTCTGCCCCAGCCAGCTGTGACTGCAGGCAGACCAGTCTTCCTCCATCCTGGCATCCTCCCCACAGACTTGAGAAGTGGGACTGGCACGTGTTATCAATTCACCTACTTGACGGAGCCACTTGGTAACTGCCATTAGGCTTTGGCTACAGGGAGATTGGGCAGTGGAAGCTCAATGAAGCCCAAAAGTTAAACAGGATCTTTGTTTCCTGCAGCCCAACTAGTCGTCTAATCAGGAAAGCTGTTTAACTTGCAATAATATTTCACTGATGTGTACCAGAGCGTTGCAAGTTATAAAATTTCCAATTTAATTTTACTGCATCCCTGAAGCCATAGTAATTAGAAGACAGACTCACAGGGAAGATGTTTACAGCTTCAGGGGTGATAATTTTGAACCTGTCCTGCAGGTCACTTCTGTCCTTAAGGTTCCCCGACTTGACAGCTGCGTGCAGACTTAGGATTTTATTGTAATAGAGCACTAACTCGTCGTTCATATGATGGGAGCAGATGTAGATGACGCTCACGTTGGCATCTGAAAGCAACAGGCACAGTGTTAATTACTGGTACAGAGGTGAATGACGTCACGAGCCTTGGCATCTGACGGGTGCTGTGCAGTTTAAAGCAGAGAGCATGTCTGAAAGCCACACCGAGGTTACTTTAGACTGGCTCTGTGATCTCTTAGTGATCTAACCGGCTTCTCTACATGTTAGCATTACTCTAAAGAGAAGATAAACAGCACCACCACCAACCACATAGATGCCATGATTCTTTCTGAAGGCGGCCAGAAGGGGACATGGAATATACTTTCAGATGATACACAGGGACTTAGCCACACAGCTTTCATCAACATTGATGGGAATTGCACATGGCTTTAAAAATGTATCCCATTAACTTCAGTAAATTATAAAACAGAGCTATTAACTTTGGAAAGTTGATGAAATTGCAACGTCTTATTCTGCCTGGACTTGACATGACCAGTTCAAGGAATGTCTTGTCCAAATAAATGACCTGATTATGACCACACCAATGATTATTTCAGGAAACCAACCTTCCCCTGCTCCGTTCCCAGAGAGGAGTATCTTAAGTAAATGGCAAATCTAGTAGCCATTTAAAGATATAGTCTTAACTTTTTGCCTTCTTAAGATGTGCTTCTTATATGTACCTGGAAAGATATCCTAACTAAATACCCCATCTGAATGGAACAGTGAGATGAGATATCCACTCTGTGCTGCAGAGTATTTGGGGAGTACAAGTGGGAAATCAGCAGCCAACAAAGTAGCCATTCATTCATTCATTCACAAAAGAGCCAACGGGTCTGCAGAGACAAAGCATTGTGGGTGCCATGAAGCCAGCAGACCTGGTGCTTGGGGAAGCTCCCAGGAGAGTGCTGGAGATGTCTTCTTGGGCAGGCAAGGCCACAAGGGATTTTAAGACTCCAGTGCTCAGCTAGGTAGATTATACAGAGCATAGGTGATCATATACTAGTTCAGCTGCCATGCAACTGTTTAACTGTCTGAGTACTGGTTTCTTCGTCTGTAAAATGGGAGTAAAAACCAGCTGGGGCACAGAGTTCAGGCAGTATTAAATCAAACAATATATGTCAAGTACCAGGTGCAGTGCATGGCACATGGTGAGTGCTCACGAGAGGGCGCCAGTGTGGGGGCCTGCTCCATGACCCATCCCGCAGGCCGGCCAATGTGCTCCCTGCTGGCTCCCCATGCGTGCACGCGTGTGATCTGATCCTTGAGATCTAACATGAATTAGTTCCATCCTCCTGTCTCAAGTCTATTAATCTTGTCTCCCCAGGCTCCCTAAAGGCAATGTTTATCCTCCTCCCTGTGTCCTCAAACCTGGCACCGCATGGGGCATGTCAGAGTCCCTCGATAGATGTTGTGGGCTGACTAGCGGGGATGGGAAATCCAGAAAGCAGAACTCTTGCACACTTAGACCCTCACGTGGGGGAGGATCTGCCATGCAGACTTGGGCCGAGGCTTCCTGGACTGCCCGGGGCTGGGTCTAGAGCAGGTGTGCCACACATGTAAATGTGCAAGCGGCTCCCACCTCAGGTTGAAACCAAATTCCCACAAACACTCAAAATGAACTAACTGGGAGATAGCAATCAAATCACTTGTATCCAAATGCTGAATGATCAAAGCAGTTATCCCAAGTCTTGTGTTTTGAAAAAGACACGAGAGTTTTACCAAACTACAGGAATGTTTCAAAAAATAAAACCAGTGTTTTTTTAAATTAAAAAAAGCATAAGAGAATAGGGCACAAATGCAAACAAAAAAATAGCTTACAGACTCTATAGTGGAGGAAAAATAATTTTTTCTTTGGAAGAAGTCTCTAGATTATAAATGATAATATAAAATGTTGCTAATTTCACCATTCCTGCTTATTTCTGGCAAAGGAACACATTATCACTAACTCTAATAGTGTTAGTGTGGTTTTATCATGAAGCTACACATGTTCAAAGTTAACTGACTGATAATTCTGGGCAGAAATGGATACGGACATGGAAACTGCACTGATTGTTGGCTAGTGTTCTAAAGCAAGCCCCTCTGGCTTGTCATCCAGCCACCGAAGACATGAACACTGGGGTCTCCACCTGATAACCAACACTTCACAGCCAGTATTTAACCACAAATCTCACCAGTGTCATACAGTTATCTCTGCTTCCTCTAACAAGCAGAAAAATAAAAAACCTTTACTAGCAATTAAGGAAATAAAAAGGAATAATGATTTATTTGTCCCTAAAATTATTGCTAATTTTTCTAGTACCTTTATACTTTCATATCACAAGAAAGTACTTTTTCTTTCATCTACTGACTGTTTCTAAATGTCCATCACTCCTGAAGAAGCTTTCTAATTGCACTGCTATATCATGAAGAAGTGTACCAAGAGGTATCTGGTTCATCTTTCAGAAATGTTCATATTGGCAACATTTTCCATTGCAGGTGAACACAAATTGAATTATTGAATTGTTTAAAATAGAAGCCTAGTACTTTTCAAATAATGAGCCTTTCTTGTAAAGAAATTCTTTACTATATATAGAAGGGTATACAAAAAGATGAAGAAGCTGGGTTCGGTGGCTCAGTCTGTAATCCCACGCTTTGGGAGGCTGAGGTGAGTGGATTGCCTGAGCTCGCGGGTTTGAGACCCACCTGGGCAACTTGGCGAGACCTCATCTCTACAATAAATAAAAAATTAGCTGGGTGTGGTGGCGCACACCTGTAGTTCAAGCTACTTGGAAGGCTGAGGCAGAAGGATTGCTGGAGCCCAGCAGGTCGAGGCTGCAGTGGCCGGGAGCGGCCACCGCACTCCAGTCTGGGCGACGGAGTGAGACTCCAACTCAAAAAAAAAAAAAAGATGAAGGAAAAAGCTAATTCAAGTAAATTAGAGCCAAGCCTGCCCTCTGCTGCACCTCAGTGGCTTTCAGCCAGCCAGGTTTCAGCTGAGATCGCTCAGCACCAACAGATCAATCTCAAGTCATTACAATTTTTTTTTTGTAGCACTGAAAAACAATATCAGTGCCTAGATAATAGATTAAAGCAATTATATGATTATTATTTTAGGACACTGTAAATTTCTAGTACTGATGTATTTTTGTTACCAAATGGCATTTATAAAATAATAATGATGCTGAAATATATATGAATCATGTAAAGTATGTCATTCCAGGGAACCAGCTGAGTTGGTCATTGATAATTTAAAATTTTTCCTTGTTTTGCTTAAATAAGGGCTAAAGCAATTCTATTTTAACAAAACAAAGAAGTTCTTTGATAACTGATAAAAATCTAACTTTGGCTGAATCCTGAATTTTGGGCCAGTGCCTGGCAACCCGATCTGATGCTTAGTTTTTGCAACCTGTATTCTCCAAGTCTCACCTGAATCCCACCTTGAACAGTGTTATCAAAGCTACTACATTCAGGCTTAATACCTTCATCTGGGGTCCGAATGTAGTAGCTTAAGACCAAACCACCATGAGAACTTGACTTTTATGAAGATTCGTCTGTCACCCAGCTGGGGTCTGTATTCCCAAAAGCCCGCCATTGGAGGTTACTAGGCTTTTCCCCACAATAAGTGGCTCTATATTTAAATAAAGCTTCTTCTGAAAGCTAACTGTATTTTCTTCTTATTCTTACGATGAAAACACAATGTTTCACTTCTAATACCACCTGCCACTCATTCCTCAGATGATGTAAATATAAAATACTGACATAAATATAAAATTTTGCCCCCATCACTGCAAGATTCAATAAAAGAATTGGATCTATAGAAGAGAAATTTTTATGCAAACTAGCAGCAAAGAGAATTTAGAAAAAGCCCAAGAAATTGGTTAAAATGTCATTTTTAAATTTAAAGCTGACTTCACTATAAACCTATTTTTTGAAACAAAATATTTAATTGCTCTGCAAGTAGGTTAGAAATCCGAGATTTTTCCTTGTAGAGGAAAAAAAAAGCAAAAAATAAACATTTTATCACGTTCACTAATAAACAGTCCAGAGAGTCATTCGTGGAGCACGACTTACTATACCTAGGATGTCACACAGCCGCCCCAGCTGCATGTTCTGCTGTGTGCTGAAATCGGCAATATGTTCCCGCACAGGCTGAGGGTACCCTAAAAGGCAAACAAGGTGTCAGAGCCCAGAAGGAACAAGTCATACAGCAAAATGGCACAAGAGAATTTGAAAACATCACAGTCTACATTTACAGGAAAAAAGAAATGCTCTCTGAAGCATCTTGCAGAGACAACCAGCTCCCAAGAAGGAGGTCTTTGCTTCTAAAGGGAATTGAGCATTATTCTGCAAAATGTGGTGAGCATCTTGTGTTGGAGCATCAAGACATGGTAAGCATCAAGATGTGTGCAGAGCATTTATGTTCTGCAACAGAGAGGTTCATATTTGTCAAAACCTACAAAACTGCCAAGAATCCAGGTTACAAAAACATGGAGAAGACACCTGACATTTAGCATGAATGTTTAAAACGAGATGCAACAAAATTATGTTCAGGTTAACAGAATTGTTTTTAGCTTTTCAACTTAGGTTTCCTACATGGTGCTTTGAAGTTGTGTCCCAGAATCATTCTACACTGACACACAGACTTCAGATAAACCCCCTGCTGTCAGACACATGTATTTATGCAATTCTAATAATAAAGAAATTGACTTCTGCTCATGTCAAAATAACTTTTAACTTTTACAGGGCGAGAATGGTGAATGCAGTTACTCTGTCAATGCATGAAAGTTCTGCAGTATGTCTCTGCTTCTGCTGGAAACAGCAGAAGGAAACACATGCGGGTTACTACTGTACAAACACCTTCTATACCAGAACAACAGCAGCAATGCTTTCTGCTGTTTCAAAACATCTCCAGCCGAAAGCATGCACCCTCACAAGCGGGTGGGACCGCTCATCAATTCAGCAACTGTTAGTGCAACTTTTTTTTTCTTTATAAAATTGCCTTTCATGTTTTGAAGAGATGCTTCAATGCCTCCTTGTGGCTAGTGAGCCCAAACACATGTTTCCAGTTACACTGCTATAGATAAAGTGATTTTGCATACTACATCTTCAAGATGTGACACAGATTTCTTTTTCAGCATAAGGAAAACTATGGCAATTCAGGCGACAGAGTTTCAGACCAAATGAACTCTGATAATTGGCTCTTTGCTTTGATGTCAGTGTTTAAACACTAGACAACGTCTGGAAATTAAATGAGTTTACAATTAATCTAAAAGTCTCTTTCTTGCTTTAAGCATATGGACTTAAGAGGAGGCAGGAGGACAAATGGCCTGTTTGAATCACTGAAAAAATTATTAATCTGTCAAATAATTTAGAGAACAAATCTACATATAAAATCAAATAGAGACAGTTATAATCCAACGCTTTTGTCTTTATGTGTGACTACAATATTGCAACTCGTGATTTTGCATATTCGGATAAGAGTTTAGAAAAATGTATCATGCACTACTTCTATAGCAAGACTATAAAAAGGAAAGGAAAAATAAGAATAAAGCATGATTAAGAAAAGTGCCCGAGAGCATCCGTGAATGCATTTCCTTTCAAAAGTAAAGATAAAAGGCAATGGAAGATGTCTCATTAAGATGATGTCCAATTTAGAATATAAAAGATGTCTGATCACTTTGTGGCCCAGATGCAGCATGTGAGTGAATGCGTCTGTGTTTCATTCAAGTGCTTGAGGTCAGTTTTCCAACAAATTGCTTGATACCTCTGCTACTACTGATTAAGGATGCATATAAAATGTAGAATTATGACAAAACTGGTCGCTCAGTTAACCCTACAAATACACCCATTTTAAAAAAGTGTATGTTAATTTCAGAACATTGGTGTAGAGGATCCTATGAAGTATCAGATATGAAGACATGTGTAAACAGTAGAGTGCTGTATGAACATAAGACACTTTAATGGTACAAGGTATGTACATGTCCAAAGCACATAACAACAGCAAATTATGTGACAAGACACAGATCATTATGCATGCACAATAGACCATACAATGTACAATGCCATTAGCAGAGCAGAAGGTGGGAGTCTGGTTTTTACAAAGTCAGGTTTACCCTTATGTTTTATACGTCTACAAGGGACAGTGCTGACAGCATATATTAAATAATAGTGATGTATCCAGGATACTACAACAAGGATGTTGTGGTTGTGGGGAGTTCAGCAGACATGCCTGGTGGCAATGAGACATCACACTTAGGAATATAATCTACAAAGACATGGCTTCTTCAAAGGTCAGACAAGGAACACTGGAGGAGTTCTGAGACCATCAACCTCAACCTTGCCATGTTATATGAGAGGGATCCGCCCCCCCCGAAAAATCCCAGAATTATCTTCTAGAGGGCGGGTCCCTTGTACAGACTTTCCCTGCTAGGTAAGTGTTCTAGGAACCCATTAGCATCCGTGGACCAGCTAATGTTGTTGTGAGAGGCTGCATTCAGCTTCAGTGAATTTTCTTTTTAGAGATTCTTGCAATGCATTTGCCCATTTCATGATGGGTGATTTACGAGTGCACCTGTCCACACCGTGTTGGGTGTTCAGCAGTTTTTGACCAAAAACGTCATGATCCCCGAGCCCAACCCTCTCTATTCTCTGGATCTCGCCCCAAGTGACTTTTTTTTGTTTCCCTGGATGAAAAAAGTCCTTAGAGGGAAACGTTTTGCCTATGTGGAAGAGGTGAAACCAAAAATGGTAGAAGCACTAAAAGGCATCAAAATTGATACACTCAGAAACTGTTTTGAGTGATGGAAAAAGCGTCCCAATAGGTGTATTGCATCACAGGGAGAGGACTTTGGAGTGGACTGAAGTTTAAACCTGTAAGAATACATACACAATTTTTAATAAGTAAATTCCCATTTTGGGGGTGTCCCTGTACATAAGGAAACAGGGTAAGTACCTTGTCTCTTATCCAAGATCACATGACCCTATACATTATTATCCAGTTTAGAAACTACTTATTCAGCTCCTGGGGGAAGTGTAGTCATGTTAAACAAAAGAGAGGGCAAGACTCCAAGTGTGCACAGAGAACTCTAGGAGGGACAAGGGGTCTTCACTCCTTCCTCTCCTTCGACTGCAGTGGTGCCAGAACAGTGGCCCTTCAGAAATGCCACGTCCCTGTCCCCAGAGCCTGTGAAGATGTCAGGTCACATGGTAAAGGAGTTATAGAGTTGCAAATGGAATTAAGTTTGCTCATCAGCTGACCTTAACATAAGGAGATTAGCCCGGATTTTCTGGCTGGGCCTGGTGTAAATGTAAGGCTTCCTGGAAGGGAAGCAGGGAGGCAGAAGGGACTAGGCTTGACCAGACTCTCCTGCGCTGGTGGGCCATGCTCCTGAGGGGTGAGCCCTGTGCCCTTTTCTGAGAAGGTTCTTTGCCCTGTTCCCTGGCATCCTCTTGTGAGTATACACTTCTCTGCCTGCTTGTCTCTCTGTTGTCCATCTCTCCTTGCCAGCCCAACACCAGCTCCTTAACCAGACTGTGAGCTACACCCAGCGGGCTCTTGGGCTAGCTCTAGTTGGACGAGGGGATGAGACGTGCATGAAGTCCTGACCCAAAGAATCCATCTTAAAAATGGTCAGCCCTTTTCCTGTGTTTTCATAATTCCCTCCCCTCCTTTCAACTCTTCTAAAATTGGGTTTTCAGAGCCGGAGGACTTCTGGAAACTCAAAGACTGGTAGGTGGGACTTGTAGCTTTTTCCAGGGTCTCATCAGCACAGCACAGCACTGGCAGGATGGGGCATGCTTTCTCCCCATCACTATGAAAAGGAACAGGACCCTTTCCTTATGACAGTCTCATCACCCGCAACGTGCTCCTAGTCAGATGGAGTGCGCTGTCTTTACTCAAAAGAATAGCAGCAAAATATTACTCCTCCGCACATCGAAGAAGGCTGCCTGAGAGCTGCCTCCATACTACTCAGCTGCTCCTTGTGGTCCCTGCTGAACCCAGGATACTCGCCCGCGGACCTGGCCATCATTCCTCCAGCTCAACCTCCACCTTTCCCCTGCCTCCTCCCATAAGCACCTGTCTGGTGATGCTGTTGCCTGTTTGCATCCAGCACCCTAGCTCTGCTAGGATCAGCTTTTCTTTCATGGTAAACACAACGCCCAAGAACATGAGCACAGCCAAACTCAGTGACCACACCCCATGGACCAGGGCACGCCTCTGGACAGGCCCCTGTTGTGCAGCAGGTCACATGTGCTTGCACTTGGCTTATCACCCTTGGTTGACTCCTGGTTCCTTTTGTCTTCCAAGTCCTGACAGTGGTGCTGAACACAGAGGAGAGGTTAACAGTAGACTCCTGGTGGCCACGTCATTGTTCACCTCGTCACCCTGGCCTGAGAGGAGCAGTGTTTCTCAGGATCAGTGACATCCAAGGCATCCCAGCCTCCCAGTGGCACATGGAGGTCTACAACAGCAGTGGCAGGAACTCCACCCCTGTTCTGTCCCACTCAAAAAAGCTACTGGAGGTAAGCTGAGTGAGAGTGACATCAACACAGAGATGAGCTGGAAGTGCACTAGACCATATAGAACTTCCGACATTCTGATGGCAAAAACGTAAGGGGACATGTGACATACTGCACACACAACAGCACACTAGCATCCTGCAACCATCCAGAGAGCTGGGATGTAGACATGGTTATTCCCAGGCTTGATGACATGTGCAAGATACCAGGGAACCAGAGAGTGGGACACCAAGACACAGCAAGGGTGCGCCCTACCTGGTTATTGATGCAGTATATTCATTGCCAGATAGATGCAAATAAAAGTGCCAGTTGTTTTTAGGGAGCTATTAAAGGGGACTAGGGACTTTGGTGATGAGGATGCAGAAAACATAGTAGGTACCTTTGCCGAGTTTTCAAAACATTCTCAAGTCAAATGGGCCAAATGGATTCACCTTCAAAAGGGTAAGGACTTTCTCTTGTTCAAACTTTTTGTTAGTGACTGGCACAGTATTGCATGCAACTGAAACTAGTGATTCTCTGACCTGGGAACCCTAGGGGATACCAAGACCCTCCTGAGGGTCTGCAAGGTCAAAACTATTTCCAAAATGATACAAATATGTTATTTGCCCTTTTTCAATCTTATTCTCTCATAAATTACAAA